TGGAGGATTACACGAATGGATAAAAACAGTTGGCAGCAAAAATATTAAATTTTTGTTTATTATTCATAACAATACTAGAGAAATTTATAGTAAAATTTGTAAATAGCTCATAGAATCTTGCCATTTCTCGATAATATAGACCTATTGGTACTAGATTAGTCTCAACTACTAAATCAACTAATACATTAGTAAGTTGAAACATAATAATTTTGATGAATAGTACCGGTAAATTGAATTTATGCATAAACGGAAAAAAAGTTGAATGTAGGAATAATTTTTTACACATGGGCAGTTTGATTATTGCAGTAAAAAAAATTACGGAAAAAAATAGGAATATTTTTCAAACTTAAATGAACAGAAGATTAGCATAAGATAGCAAATTTTGTATGCCTAATTACTAAAGATATACAAAATTGCAGGTGCTTTATATAATTCTCTGACATTGTAATATATAGGAACGACAACTCTAGCACCAATAAAAAGCAGTAATGCAGCTATTAAAGTATGGAATGCATTGATGGTTCTCAAAAATGACCCTCAACACCAAATAGCTAAAATCACAAATGAATTGTGTGACGATGTGAAGAAAAGAGCCAATGTAAGTTTCCATGATAAAATTTGACAATTTGTATTTTTATTTTCTAAAGATGTTCATTTTTTGGTAATCGCTTTTGTTACTTTTGTTGTTTCAACTGATGAAAAATATAATTGGATTTAATTTTATTACATTTCACATCTAAAATCAATTTTTATTATTTACAGGAAAAATATGTGAAGATTCAAAATAGGCAGTATGACTTTTTCTATCGTTACTTTATTTTTTTAATGTTTTTTTTATGTTAAAAGTTTATTAGTTTTTAAACTTCCTATTTTATGATCTAAATCACGTTGGTTATACCAAATATAACCCATCTAATTGCTACATATTGCTTTAATTGACTTTTTGTTGATTTTTTGAAATTTTTTCGATAAACATTTTTGAAATGTTGTTTTAATAAAAGTATGACAAATTTGTCAATAAGGAGTGACATGTTTTTTAATGTTGCCTTTTTCTACAACTACTTGTTGACTTTGGTTACTTTGTTTGGATTTATCTTTTTTGTCATAAGAAACTGCTTTGCTCAAGATATATTGTTACAGTTTTTTGGTGTCGATAAAAACTCTTGCTTTCTTAAGTTAGTTCGGCGTTTGATACAGTACAGCCTTACGGAAAATAGAGTGACTCTATATTGGCTGACATCGTGTCTGTCTGGACGATGTATTTTTTTCTGGTGGCATCCATCAGTTTATGTTCTACAGGGTTCAACCATTGTCTTTGATATAATTAGATCGTCCGATAACTTTTTTGCTAAATCTGTTTTTTGCCCAACTTTTGGATTTTGGTGAAAGTTGGTTATATTATAAAAATGCATCTATTAGATAGAATTATTATACTGGTGTAATTTTAATAACGTGTCATTTTAAAAGTTTCTTAAACACAATGACATTGCAATGTTTGGTATGTTTGGTATTAACCGCTAAAAAATCATTATATCATTATAATCATTACCTAACCTACATAACCTAACCATTACCATCATCACATATCAAAAGCTGACTGGGACACATTTACAACAGAAACTGAGTCACTCTTTCAACCAGCCCTATTCAACACCCTACCTCAAAACTAAAAACCAACTTGAAAACATACCATAATATCAATAATGTCTCCAAAAAATGCATCCCTGCCGGCCGGCATAAAGAACATGTCTCGTGTCTTTCCAAACATCTTAAACAACTCATTAACAAGAGACACCTTTCGCCAACCTGACTCCCAGTCAGCTCTAGTACAATCCCTCACCAAACAAATCAATACATGATAGCAACCTATAAAAAAGAACAACTGAACCAACATGAAAACTCCAAGTTTTGAAACATGAAGCTCATCCGTAAACTGGACTACAAATACTTCCAATTGCCCAATAATCTTCCAACGATCAAATCGCCAACAACATCAAAATCTTTTCCTCCTTACATCCGCACCAAACCAATAAAGAAAATCGTCATACATTTAGGACAATAAAATCACATTTAATAACCAACACTCTAACCTTCACAGCTCACGACAGCAAATCCGCCATCAAAAAATCCAAAAATTCGAAATTTATAGGCCCTGACAACACCTCCAACATCGATCTCTAACACATCATTGATTACTTTGGTCTTACATTCATTCCCATCCCTAACCCCAGCTGACCACCAATAAGTTTTCCGCCCGAACCACTCCACAACCACATCCTTACTTCAGCTCTCTACAATCATTGCCCACGGTCTCAACCAAAATAAGCCGGCCCACCGTACCATTGCCATTTCACTCGACTTCACTAAATTCTTTGATTCAGTTAACCATGTCACCCTACTCAATATTATCTATCAATCCGCACTGCCTTTTTATCTCACCAGATGGTTTCCAACTACCTACACAACCAACAATGCAAAACCCATATCCGCAACACCACCTCAATTACTGGGATCATTCACACAGAAGTCTCTCAAGGCTCCGTAGTCTTTCCCGCACCATTTAATGTCTACATCCAAGACATACCTACACCCCCACCTAACGTCCAAGTAATCAGTTACGCAGACGACTTTATTATCTCATCATCAGGCCCCCTATAAAACCTATCACTACCATTCTCAATAACTATTTCACAAACCTTGACAACACTTCTTTCCAGGTGAGCTTGGATCTGCCACTTTTCCTTAAACCTCCACTTTTAATAGTTCTACATTTCTTTACCCATTTCTTATTTGCTTTCCTCTCTTTATAGCCAAACCATCTCAGCCAAATGCCTCTAATTACATCTGACAACTCATCTATATCTAATCCTTTCTTTATTACCTCAATACTTAGACCAACCATCAATGAATACTCTCGTTATTCTTTTCAGCATCTGCATTTCTGATCTCTCTAGACATGTTTTCAGCCGTCAAAGCCCAGGTTTTTAACCCATGTAATAGGGCATTTTACACATGTTTTGTATACCTTACCCTTCAGACCCAATGGCATACCCCAAGAACACAGCACTGAAGTTGTTTTTCTGAATTTTTTCTATCCTACTTTTGTTCTATTCTCGGCCGCTTATCCGATCCACCCTCCTCACTTAGTATATAACATAAGAGCCCCACTCTTTTAAATTCTATTTTCCCAGGTTTCCCAGCTGCCCTGTACCACCCTTTCGCTCAGTAGTATCATTCAACTTGCATTGTTTACAAATAAATTCTTTGCTTTTGATTAATCGTTTGTGGGTCTATTTATAACATTTTAAACAAAGTATTGAATTTTCTCCGACTCCTTCACCACATACTGCACAGGGAATTTACCACGTTCAAGAGTATCTGAATTCTCTCCCCTCTTAACCATAATGACATCCTTTTTAGTTGTGCACATAATGTTTAAAAAAATTTGTTTAATTATCTCAATTAATGAACTTTTTGTACACAGTTGTATCAAATTGTAAAATAAATTTCAACGTTAATTTTTACCGGAATATATTTTCTTAGACGAACTTACTTAAAATAAATGATATTTATTTGAATTGTTTTTTGTACATATTCGACATTAGTTAGACTTTTTTTATTGAATAAATTTTTAAATAAATATTAATACACAAATATACGTGATGCGAAACAAACAACGCCTAAAAAACTTGGGCATGTAGCAAACAAATTTTACTTGGTAACAAAACTTTGGTGTTATATTTATCCAAAAAGTCCACAATTCATCATGACAAATCTCTTGGTAAACCAGATATCATTCTTCTTTTTAACTCTACTGAAAGTGATGCCGATAACAGATCATTTAACTTCAATCTAGTATTGTAAAGGGAAGATCATCAGATGGCCGATGGTCTTGTTTTTTTTAACAAGCTTGACAAGCTTTCATTGCTGTTTCATGACCTGAATGTGAATAGTTCTGATTGGAACAAGTCATCTTAAGCTATACTTTTTGTCAATTCATCGCGTATCTCGGGGAATGTTTTGTCGAGTCACTATTTAAGAAACGTTTGGACAGTTTTATTCAGTTTAGAAAACCACACAGATTTTAGAACAAATTTCTAGAGCTGGATATTGCAAAAAGAGGAAGTGAAAAACTAGGCAATGTAAAGATGGCAATGGATCGTTGTCAACTGTGCTTGCGCGACAGGAAAATACAAAGCTTGTGTGACGTGTGTTCTAGGCCCGCTTGTCCTGCATATTCTATGAACTGCTGTGTTTGTCCTATTTAAATATATATGTATCTAAGGATTTGTGGAGCGCCCCTATTGAATAACTTCAGAAGCGCTAGCTTCACTCGAGAGTGTCAAAACAAATGATGTTTCAAACGTTTCTTGAAAACATGTCGGCTCATGTGTTGAATTTTTTCAAATTTACAGATAGTGAGTTCCAGATTTTTGCAGACGAAACAGAAAATCTTCTCTTCCCAAAACGAGACGAATTGAAGCATAAGATCACTATTATCGGAGGATCTCAGTCGACTCCGATTTGCAATTTCTGAAACTAACTGTAGTTGTTTCCTCAGATAAGTTGGAGTGTCACCAGCAGGACAATCTCGGATTAGAAGAGCTAGTTTGAAAACGATTCTTTCTGGCATGCGGAATTTCGAATAACCAGCAACAAGTCTCGCTGCAGCGCTCAGAACAGACTGCAAATCATCACGAAAGGATGAGTTGACACCAAACATAATCGCATTGCAATAGTCAATTTTTCCACAGATAAAACTACGAACGAGTGCTTTTGTTGACTCGATTGTCAAAAAACGTCTGATGGATCTTGTTCTGTGGAGTTGGTAGAAACATTGCTGGCAGAGTTGACTAATATGCTTTCAAATGAAAGATGAGGATTCAGTATGACTCCGAGATTCGTTACTGGATTTTTGTAGTCATTTAAACGGCTGAGGCCATGCGGCGTTCCCATCCACAAATATTGAGTTTTTTTGACGTTAAGTTTAAGCATGTTAGATGACATCCAGCGACCAACCAAGTCCACTGCATTCGACACAGCAGTGGAAACTTGAAGTGATGAGTCAGGTAGTTCAAATCCGTAAAGTTGAATATCAGCAGCATATAGGTGACAGCCAAGACCGGCTGCTTCGACGACGTTGACGATATCTGCAATGTACATGATGTATAGCAAAGGTCCAAGTACTGAACTTTGTGGTACACCGCAGATCAATTCTGAAGAAGACGTGCCCAGACCACTCCCATCGACGCTGACAACTTGAGACCTGTCTGCTAGGTAGGACTGGAACCACCTGAGAGCATCTCCACAATACCAAATGAAGTAGATAAATGCTTCAATAAAATCTGGTGGTCAACTTTGTCGAAAGTCGAGAAGTGCCAGCAATGATATGTTACCAGCATCAATGGCGTCACAGACATCTGAAACCACCTTCAAGATCGCTGTCTAAGTTGAATGTGCTCGACGAAAACCTGATTGAACTTTTGGAAGTAGTGAGTTTTTGTTCAGGCAAGCGAGGAGCTGGCGAGCGACAAATCTTTCAATTGTTTTGAATACGAAAGTAAGGTTCGAAATGGGTCTGTAATTGGCCACAACGTTGTTCGCTAGACCAGGTCTCTTCAACAACGGATTAATTACTGCAATCTTTTGAGACCTAGGTAATGTTGATGTTTGCAAACATTTATTGACCAGGTTAGATAAAGCGTATCAACAAAATCAACAAAAATGTTGGAATAATATAATTTGCATTGCGTAATAATTTGCATTGCTTGCGCGACAGGAAAATACAAAAACTTGTGCGACATGTGCTCTAGGCCTGCTTGTCCAGCATATTCAATGAACTGCTGTGTTTGTCCTATTTAAATATATAATTTGCATTGCATTTTATTATATTGGTATTAGAATTTAAAATCATACTTATATCGAGCATGCGAGTGTCTTTCCGTAGCATCATAACCCCATTTAGTGCGTTATTTCATTGCATATCAAATGCTTAATACATGTATTTTAGTTGATAAAGTATGTTAACAATATTTGAGAAAAATTAAATTTGTTAAAATTGATTTATATAGAAAAATTAAATTAGTTATGGGAACGTATCTTTTTTGCAAGTTGATTTTAACTTCTTTAAAGAAGTTATTATTTCTTCTTCTATAATTCAGGAAAACTGTCGCTGATGGAAGCAATCCAAATACCTTAAGAAAAACACTTGCTGTAAGTTAATAAAAAATTAATTTAATTTTTTACAAATTTGTTTTTTCTTAATAAATTAGGGTTAGTTGTCAATAATAGTTCATTTAATGAAGTAAACTGAATAAAAGTCAAACTTGAAGGAAACTAAATGACGAAAAGCTACTACGTTTTTTTTATAACATTTTTTTTGTTTTATTCTGTGAAAAATCATACTCTGACAAACGCAGAATGTTATTTATCATAATTTTGCCAACCAATAAAGGGTGCATTCCATTCTCCGTTATCCTACTCAAGCATTTTTTTTCAATGGTCTTGTCGGCTATTTTCTGAAGCCAACACCAGTTACAAAATTCGTCAACAGTTTGGAATTCCAAAAGTAGCAGAAACAAGTGCACTTCTCGCTTCACCAGTTTGGTATGAAAAAGATTACATTTACAACAGAGCAGCCAGAATTCTCATGCATAGCAAATCGGAGTTTCTAAGAGCCAGTTGGTTTTTACTAAATTTTATTTATTCATTTTTTGTACAAATATTATATTAATATTTAAAACCGGTAAAGTTTGCATGTTTTTTTCAGTGTAAGTAAATACGGGAGAAAAGTTTGAATTTGCATATATATTTATATTGTTAAACAATTTTCTACGCTTCTTTAAAAGCAAGAACATTTTATTTATTTTTTTGACAACTATGAACAGAATTTTTTATTTGACAGCCATTATTTAAATAACATTTAGATTTTTTTAAATTTGTACGAGTACATCTAACATCCGTGAATTATTGGAACATTCACCAGTTTAATTTAATCAGAAAAAACTAAGATAACATTTTGTAGAAAATCTGTCGCTACATACATCAGCACTGAATTTGCACCGTTTCACAACAAACACATTTTCACCAGGTAAAACTTGTTGTGACCGTTCAAATGTATGTAAGCCATAAAATACTCAAAAATACTGATACTCAAAATACTCAAAAATACTCTCAAAATACTGACACTAAGTTATGTTTTTTTAATAACTTGTAGTTCTATATTATATTACAATTTTACAATTTTGAATTAAATCTAAGCTACAACTTCGTCTTGAAAAGTATTGTGAGGCAATGAAGAGAAATTTTCAATAATAAGAAAAATGTTCAATAATAATTTTTAACAATGAAAAGTATTTGCCTAGTGGCTTCGAAGAAATACAGTAAAATTTTTGCGAATATTTCAAATAATGCTTCACAGCAGTTTTACGGTATTGCGAAAGCAATAAAATTAAAACTAGTAAATTCATCATCGTTGTCCCACGTAAACAGTTATATGAATGAAACTTTGCACGTCAGTGGAAGTGGAATTGCAACATAATCAAAGATTGTTGAATGATTTTAACAAATAATCAAACGTAAATTTTTTTATCACGCATGAAAAAATGGTATTGTCCGACCACTATCATCATTAAGACATCCTTTTTCTTTATTTCTTAAAAATATTTCTAATAGAAAAATTGACGAACACGAATCGTATAGTTCATTCGGTTTTTTTATCGACAGCAGATTTTCTGATTTTATTCACATCCAAGGGCGAATTCTGACAACTTTTTTGTGTGAGGGTGCTTAAAAACTCGTTAGCTATCTATTTTCTGTTATTGCACAACACTTTTTTAAAGTCTAAAAAGTACTTGAAGAATATATATTGGCTTAATTTAAAAACAATTACAAAAAATTGGTTCAAGTACCTGTTCGGGTATCATGGTTCAAATGCATTAAATTCCACGCTTATCACTTTTAATGTGTATAATGCGTTGAGGCACGTCTATTTATATACGATATGAGTTTGTCGCTGAATTATTAGAGAATTGTAAAAAATTATCATTATTTTTTCTGATTACGTTATTTACAGAATGCCTAAAGTGTGACGAATTGTTGTTTAGTAACAAATTCAACAGACAGATTGGTTTGCTGAGGTTTCACCCATTTGACACACAACTAGCTATTGTTGAAGAAGTCAATGTCCAGTATGTCGTTTTTAAATTTTTTTATTGTTACGCCTGTTAAGATTGTTTTCAAAAGTAATGAATTTGCTTCAGTCGCTTGCACTGGCGTTTCACAAATGGCCTTATTATTATTGTTATTATTTAAAAGAAAGGAAATGTGGCTTTATGCAGAAGCGACTTGTGCATAATGCATTTTTGTTACTCATCAATCTAACATCGAGTGCTAGATCCCAACATGACTGAGTGCCTATCAATAGTAATGTAATGCATCTAATTTTTGAAAAAAATGATGATGATGATAATAATAATAATAATATTAATAATGCAATTTAAGAAGCGCTAATCGCTGTGGTAATAATAAGTTGAGACCTACCTGACTGTCAATTTTATTGAGTTTTTGGGAGGTTGGAGCCAGTAACGTTATAATCTAATGTTTTTAGATATGTGGTTTATTTTTTTTGGTAAATATGAGCAGATTTTTTTATTTTTTATTATGCAGCTCTGACATGTGCATAATTGGTTACTTGTATTATAATATATATACACAACACACGATATACGTTCATATTTTTTGTGGACGAGCATGATGGCCTTTATTTTAGCCTAACACTGTTCGAACCAACTCATCGCAAATAACAACAGAGATAGCGGCTAAAGTTTGAAAATTTATTATGAAATATTACAGAGCCTTGGGAAAGATTATAAATAATCTGTGCTGGAAAATAGCTAAAAAGATCTAAACTTTTGTAATAATTGATTTATAAATAATAAGATTAAAGATTATACTTTTGAAACAATTGTAGCGTGAAAGCAATTAAGAGCAGTGTTTCCGAACGTGGGACGGAATCAATTTTATTCGCGAAGAAAATGATTTAAAATATACTAATACATTATTTGTTATGAAGATGTATTGGATGTGATGAAAACGAACTCTGATATTTACGAATTATCAGACGGCTCATATATCAACCAGCCATGAGAAAAGTTTTTTAAAATCCAACGATTGGTTTGATATTAAATGTTATGTGGAAGTTTTCAGGTGTGGAAGTATATCGTTGATCTCATTCTTTGAAAGGAAGCAATCGTTGAAAAGCGCAAGTTCTTTATGGAGAAACAAACAAAGAATCAAGGATGATTTTAATACTCAAAATCCTAAATATTTATTTAATTTTTCAGATTTAATTCGTTGAATTGAAATTTAAAAAAAATGTTTAAGTTAAGAGTATATGAATATCTATTTTTTCAGTGCATTATTGAATTTGATATTAAACATAGCATGCGGCTGTCGAACGTGTCTGGCGTAATTTGTATTTTTACATTTTTTTTATATTCAGAATTTATGATTGGGACACAAATTCAAAGTTGGCAACGGTACACAATAACAAACCTCACACTCGAATCACTTACCTCGAATTTATAAACGCGTATGATAATACGCTGCTAATTACTGGAACCAGTGAGTTTTATGAATAGTTTAAATTTAATAAAAGTTAAACTATATCAAATATAAAACATTTTATTGTCAAATTATTTTTGTTTTTAGACTGATGATATAGATAATTTTTTATTTCCAATCTTTTAATCATTTGTTTATTTTAAAATATAAAAAATTGCTAGACACCTTTTACACAAAAACTTTAAAGACGCTTATACTCTCTCTACTTTTATGTATTTTTATGAGCTTTTTTGACTGCTGAATCCAGGGTCGGATAAAAATTTATTAAAAATATTTAGTCTTTGACTTCGAAGGAAAATTTCTAATTCCCAACTCCGGGTTCCGACTTCAAAAAAATTCCAACATTTTAATTATAAATAAAATAACTTTAAATAAAAAAAACGTTTTAAATCAGTCGATGCACAATATTTTTCTATGTAAAATATGTACCGAAACAAAATAATTCAATTCTTTTTTTTTACATAAATATAACACTGATTGACATATGAAAATAAAGTTTCTGCTGGCTTGAATATTTTTGCTGATTTTATATATTTGTGTGATGATGATACCAAATTTAAAATCGGAAATTATGTAATTCGTCAAATTTTTACACAAATGTCTATATTCTGAGGTTAGTAGCTGAATTAAAAATAGGGTTTTTTCTTGCATTCCAAAATACAAATTTTATTAATTTGTAAATTTCCTGAAATCACTAAAAAAATAAAGATTCTATATTTCTCGTATTGGAAAATATGATTTAACTGGACATAATATCTTTATAGTTTTATTTCAATCCCGGTTTTGTTATGATTATAAAAGTTGAGGAAAAAGATGAAACTTCTGCAACTTGCTCAATCGTCAAGTTATTCAATCTACTGTAGGTTCACTTAAGTTTGATAAATAAACCAGGGCATCGAACCGTAATTTTTTTCGTTTCGGTTCACGGTTTCGGTTCAATCATCAAAACGAATTTCGGTTCCGGTTTTCGTTCCTGAAATAATATCGGTTTTTTTGGGTTTTCGGTTTTGCTCCGAAACTTAATTTTTTCAAACATAGTTCTTAAACGTATGTAACGGACATGCGGACATCCAACTATCACCACAATGCCAATTTGAATAAAATTTTAGATTGTGAATAATAAGAAATCAATAACAAAAATGATTTTTAAATGTTGTCAGTATAAAAGGAAACGTTTCTAATATTTTTTTTTCAACAAATTAAAACAATCATTACAAAGATATTTTGAAATCACTAATATAAATTTCAAAATAAGATTGTTTCAAAAAAGATGACAGTTTCCTCTGATTATTAATATATCTTCTTAACTGTTTTCATTTAAACCTCTTCTGCAGTCTTTGAGGATAAATTTTAATCCAGATACTGATTCTTCCAGGCTCACTTGTGTAGCTGGTACTTCAAAATTTTGAAGATGATCGCGCTTGATCTCTAATTTCTCCGATTATACTGTATTTCACTTCACGTGGCAATTCTTACTCAAATTATCGGCGAACTCAGTTGGCAAAACAAACGAAAAGAGAGGTAACTAATTTTCAAAGATAATAAAAATTAACATAAAATTTTAAAAGAAATATTATCTAAATATTTTTTTTCTGAATTTGACAAAAATATTTTTTTTTTAATTTTTAGCATCGAACCGTTATTTATTTCGTTACGGTTTTCGGTTTTGGTTAAACTAGCAAACAATTTATTCGGTTCTGTTACTGTTTTGTTCTGAGCAAAATTTCGGTTTTTAACGGTTTTCGGTTTTGGTTCAGTTCCGGTTCGATACCCTGAAATAAACACAATTTCTTCAAACACATACTTGTTTAAACTTTTATTTTAATGCCAACAGTAACAGAACTACTGAATCACAGAAATGCGCTAGAGATCGCAAGATTGCTAATATTGAACAAGTCAACTCGATCATACAATTACCAACTCAACTCTTTAATTTCCAACTTCAACTTCGTTTCCTGCTATAAAATTATCCGTCCCTTATATATATCCCTCTGTCACTGCCGTCCTGGAAAGAATCTAGCCTGTCTACGTAAACAGCTTTCATCTTTGCTCGTATTTTTCAGTGTTCTTGAATGCAGTAAACAACGTCATTTAATCCGTAAATGACTCTGTATGGCCCTATCCAATCTCGTTGAAGTTTCGGAGGCCGTCCGTTCATTTTGTATTGGCTTTATAGCCACACCAGTCATTGCTTTTGAAACCTGCATTATTTTTTTCAACAAAGATGACTTGCTTATCTTTCTTTCAGTTTGCTGATGATACAAGCGTAATAACTTAATTTTTTTAATGCTAAAACATCTACCGCAATTCAAATCGGCAAAGGAGTCTTACAAGGAAATCCATGTTCCCCAATTTTATTCAACATGTTTTTCAACCTCTTCATGAAAATTTTGGAGGGTTTGGAGTTTCGTCAATGTGGTTAAATGTGGGGTCCAGCAGCAGATATCAAATCCAAATTTAGTTTATAATAAAGTTTAATCCGTAATATGGTTTCTGTTTTAATAAATAAAATAATAAAGAAATGACCCAACGCTTTAGACAAGACTTGCGAGCGTGCGGAAAAGTCGGTCCGTACCCCTGGCAAGAAGGGCCCGTATATTCCGACCCTGAGGTCTGTAAAAGATATTGTATAGATATTGTAAAGACATTGACCGGCGAGTCCCGGCCAGGAAAGCGACCGCCCGCGTGAAGAAAGCGAAGGTGGGCGACGGTATCGAGCGGCCGGTGGCGTGTACGATCGCCACGGCGCTGATGATCGACACCGACCCTACCGTGTCGACGATCGCCGTCGCAGCCAGGACAGCGGCGACGACGAGCGTGTCGACGGAAGAAACGGTAGGCGAGAACGCGGTGGCAACCTTCACGACCACGACGACGAAAATTTTACAATTGGCGCCCAACGTGGGGCTTCTTCTTTTTCAAGCAATAAAAAAATTTGGCATATGTGCTAGGTACAACCGATGAAATTCGGAAGATATGGAGACACATCTGTCTTGTTTATTAACAGGTGAGGCTTCTCAGTGCCTTTGGGACCTGACAGGACTAGGATACCACGAGTTGAAGTCGAAGCTCGAGGATCGTTTCGGGACGAGGGGTCATGAATCGTACAAGCACGAACTGCACATTCTTCGTAGGAAGCCTGGCGAGTCCCTCGGCAAATTGGCAATTGGCACAAGAGACCAAGCGCTTGACGTCATTGGCATACCCAAGGGAACAGTCAGCATTGGCTCAACAGCTTTCTAAAGACTTTTTCTTGTCAGCGTTGGGAGATGCTGAGCTGGAGCTGAAGGTCCGGGAGAGAGAACCGAGGAACATCGACGATGCACTCAGGTTCGCCCAACGACTTAAAGTCACAAGATCGTGGTTAATTCATCTAACAGGTCTTATATTTAGGTCATGGAACCAAAATATCAAACCAGAGGGTTGAAGACGTTGGAGCGGCAGATGACAGAACTTCGTCAGATGTTCGAAGAGTTCTATCGTGGCCCTCTATGTTACACACAAGCGAAGAAAGGTGATTGTTACAGATGTGGCCAGTCATGCCATTTTTCATCAAAGTGCCTGCAGAAGGCGAAGTCAAACAAGCATCAACAAGTTGACAACGAAGCAAGCACAAAAATTTGCTACGGTGTGGAAAGCCGGGTCACTTTTCGAGGGAGTGCCGCATGGCAAAGGTGTCAAAGAGGATGTGGGCCGATCGAATCAATCGACATGCAGCAATGACCAAGCCATTTACCTACCAATCAACGTTGATGGAAAAAGAAAATTGGGCTTACTAGATAGTGGCAGCAGCGTCTCGATCCTCCCAACGTCGATGGTAAATGTCTCAAAGATTCAGCCGTCAACGAAGTTCCTGAAGGCAGTAAACGACACAGAAATACCGATCAAAGGGCAAATTGAACTTTTGATCGAATCAACAAACACTCTAAGCCAGCATCACTTTGGTTTCGGACAGTGTATCTGAAATCTTGCTGGGTTTGAATTGACTGAAACCCAACAACGTTTCGTGGAAGTTTGGGCAGACAAAAATCACCATTGAGAAGAACTCAGCAGCAGTGGCGCTGGTTACCAAAGATGTTGGTGCAAACCGGATGTGCCGAATAGAATTAAACGAAGAAGTAGAGATTCCCGCGAGAACGGATTTCGACGTCCCATCAAAGATCGTGGTTCGACAGCCATCGAAATTTGAAGTTAGTGGATATGTGCTCCGATAATACACAACTATAGCTATACTTCCCATGTCGTTCCGAGAACAATGTATCCGGGTCATGAATATCAGCGATCAACCCCGAATGATTCTTTCCCGAACGCAGTTGTCAAACTTGTACCCTGCAGATGAAGAAGCGATCGATGACGAGTATGAAAACACAAACCTAATGGAAGTTTTGATCAAGCCACTGATCAAAAGTATACCGGAAGAAGCAACGATTGAATTAGTTAAAATGTTGAAAATTTTTTCAGAGGTTTTTAGTTGTTCCAAACAAGAAATCGGGATGGCGAAAGGAATCTATCATGAAATCGAAACCCTAGGAGCCCGTCCTGTCAAACAGCAGTTGAGGAGGTACCTACCTACTCATCAACAAGTGGTTGCTAAACAAGTGGATGAAATGATTGAGCAAGACGTGATCGAACCCGCACATGGGCCGTGGTTTTTTAACGTAGTACTGGCGAAAAAATTGTGACGAGTGTTGCAGATATTACAGAGGGAAACCACCACGTCAACGAACTGAAATTATTTAACTAATGAAATGCTTATCGACAACTTTTGGACACCGCATGAGCGAACGTCGAGCACGACGTTTAGTAGGGTGGGGGCTTTGTAAAATCTGATGATTATAGTGGTGGTTGTTATTTTCGTTGTTTTGGTGGTCAGATACAATTCAACTGGACTTGGGCTCAATTATGGTTTGAGGACAAAGAAAAGCGCATGCATGATGTGCACGTGGTGCTGCTGAACGATATGAATATTCATCACGAGACACACTTTTACAGCATGCTTGAACTTTGGTACACTTTTCGATGGTGGACAAAGACAGATGCATAAATTATGCAAGCAGCTTGGACGGTTGATCATGTTACAGTATGTATAAAAAAGTGAAAATGGAAAGACTATATTATATATACTCCGTCAGCTGCAGAAAGAGGGGGGTGGATTAGATTTAATTATTGAACGGTTGATTATTCTAGATTATTGGATTATTGTATGATTTGGTTATTGAACTAGTTATTTTAATTTTATTGATCGTTGTCGAATATAATGAAGGTTAATCCGTAATATTGTTTCTGTTTTAATAAATAAAATAATAATAAAGAAATGACCCAACGCTTGAGAGAAGACTTGCGAGCGTGCGGAAAGGTTGGTCCGTACGCCCGACAAGAAGGGCGAAACATCTCTTTCGCAAGGCCCGTATATTCCGACTCTGAGGTCCGTAGAAGATATTGTAGACCGGCGAGTCCCGGCCAGGAAAGCGACCGCTCGCGTGAAGAAGGCGAAGGTGTGCGGTATCAAGCGGCCGGTGGCGTGTACGATCGCCACGGCGCTGATAACCGACACCGACCCTATCATGTCGACGATCGCCGTCGCAGCGAGGACAGCGGCGACGACGAGCGTGTCGACGGAAGAAGCGGTAAGAGGGAACGCCGCGGCTACTTTCACGGCGTCGACGACGAAAATTCTACAGTAAATTAATTTGAAAAAGAAGAATAAAATCACAAATTGTTTAATCAACCAACAAAAAAGATAGCCCCAACTACATCATGATTCAACAATAATTTCTGACGTGCAATTCATCATTTTCACCATCTCCAGATATACCTTCCCAGTTCAATGTGGTTGACGGCTGCAATTTCTTTTGCTGATGATCAAAATTGCCGGCTTGGATTTTTTCTATACAATCACCATCATTTGTTGGTGACATTGAAAACCCAGCCTACAATGAAGTTGCATTAATTGTTCGGAAATGAAACGCCCTGTCCTTCAGACCAAATATCAACATATGCTCTGAAAAGGTGCCCAAAACTCCACACATACTTTCATAAATTAATAATCAGATATTGGAAATCTGCAACAATCCGATCGTGTTGGCTAAATGGTTTAACAATTTTAATTTATAAGAAAGGAGATTCGAACAATCCGGCCAACTTTCGTCTCATAACTTTGAAGACCCTAAAACATTTTCTCAACTGTGTAAAAAAATAGACTATACAATTTTCTCAATAAAAATAAATTTATGAACAAAACACTCAAGGATTTTATCCGAAAATTGATGGGCTGGCGGAACACATCCAGATAGATGTTGACCCACTTGAGGAAAGATGTTGACCCACTTGACAAAAAGACATCAACGCATATTAATAATCGCGCTATTTGGAATATTTGCTATATATCGCGATCTTCGAAATTCGTTTTGAGAAATGAGTCATTATCTCATCAACTCAATGCTGCTTTACCATGTAACATACGAATCTATAAAATGCATATTACAAAAAATACTCAATATCAGTTTCTATTTACAGGCAACTCACACCATTGTTACCGCGAGAAAGGGGGGCTTCAAGATGACCCATGTTCCTCGCTATTATTTAATTTATATTTTAACCCGCTCATAAAGTTCTTAAAGAGTGACTAATTTAAACAGTACGGATACTTTTTGAGTCCAACCTCGGATGTGAAGGCTAGATTTTGACTTTAAGTCGCCGAAATCACGGCAATTATTGCACCCAGTTCGGATGGTGCTTAAAAATTAATTGATCTGAATCTAGATTGGTGCAATTGGCCTGGCATGCAAATGAAGATAGATAAAATTGAATGAGGAAAAAAAGGTGGCTTATACTTAAAGGTTAAAGGTTACTCTCTCTCTCTCTCTCTTTTGCGTTTGCTTCAGAGGTTTCAACGACAAACACACACAGCGTATATGAATACGCGTGCAAACCACGCATCATACACATTGCATATGATAGGCGGTAATCTCTTTGTTTTCGAACCCAGTCATTGCAATAGCAAGACCACGCCGCCCTTGTGATTAGGGGACTATTGTCGTAGATAACATACCCATTCAAACTATGGAAAAGGTTTTTGGATTCAAAAACATGGGGGAAATTTATGATTCAAAATTAAAAAATGCAAAAACCTTCTATGACTTAGATTGCCGACAATTTGGACAACCTACTTGGGTAAAACGCTTGATTCCCAAGTTTTCTCGGTGGTGCTAAACAAACGAAGAAACATATAGCGTCCAGCTGTGGATCCGTAGTTGGGTTCAAAACGATATACTGAACGACATAACAAGATATTGACCAAAAACGTTAATTTTTGTTTTCATGCGATACGGTTGATTGTCTGATATTCGCAGATATCAAAAAGGAAGGAGTCCAATGTCGCAATTGTTCGTCAATCTCAGTCCGGACATCGCAATTTTATAAGATAGAAGAATTGAGGTCGTGGAGTGGACGGTATGTCACGAAACAAATTTTATTCATTCTAGAAACTTCAAACAATCGAAATACATTAATAGCTTAAATTCATATATAAACTCTGATTTTGAAAACTGTTCAATTATTGTAAATACATTTGAAATTACGCAGATTGGCTTCTTTAATACTTTCAATTTATTTCTATTATTTTTATAAAGAAAAATGTAATTACAATTGCGCTCTGGTTGCATTTTGTCATCGCAATGACTAGGAGAGTTTTTTGAATAATAACTCGATTTTTTTGGTTACGTGTGATTACGTTTTGTCATAACGTGAAAAAGCTATTTTTTTACCTTTTTATTTATTAACTTAATAAAAGATTAGATAATAATAGATTTTTGCTCTCCGCCTACATTTTTTTACCACGTCCATGTTTTTCTTTCGGTCTCACTATTATTATCTATTTTCAACTTTTCAAACCCTATTATCAGCACTCTTTCTTAAGAAAAACCAGATTTTTAAAAATCCCATAAGCGGATATACTCAGTTCACAGAAAGTCCACAGAAAAAATGTGTTTACTCTGTTTTTTCGTTGCAAAGTTATGTTTATTAGAATTTTTCAAACGAATTGCAGATAGTTAATGTATATCAGCTTGCTCCCAAATTTTTTTAACCTACGTTTTGTGGTTTTCTTGATATTGTTACCTAATGTCAAAACGTAACCGGAGCGTTATAATGAAAAATTACTCAATCATTTTTTTATATTTAATGAAAAAACAAACATTGAAAGCGTGGCTATTGCACAAATATGTCAATTAAATTTTTTCTTGTCGATTGCTCTGGTTTTCTTATTTTTTCTTGTGGAAATGTAGCCTGAGCGTTAATTATAAGAACTAATTTTGTGTTAATATTTTATTTGATGAAATCTGGGAAATTAAAAATCAAAAAATGTAGCCGGCACGCAATCAAATGTAGCCGGATCGCTCGAGGCATATCTCTCTACCTCAATCTCCGGCTATCGTTTGCCAAAATTTAGGATTTTTTATCTTAAATATTTTAAACATGTAGAATTTAAAGGTCTGACTTCGAAAATAATTTAAGATATCATTTAACAATTTTGCATTGCACTTGGTTAATGTCAATTTATTTTAAAATTATTTTTCAGATGAAAGTGTAGTGAAAGTTTTTAAAAATTATTCCAAATCTGACGGCGGAGAATTGGTTTCTTGTTGGGTAGCTCTCAATGATCTTATTCCTATGTCTAATAGTTGGTTTTGATAATGTTTACATTTAGTTAACATTGAAACATAAAATATATTATTACTAAGGAACGATTAGCAAGCATTTTACGCATGTTTTATATAATCGTCCAAAAAATGTGTGATTTTGAGTGTACGTATACATATAAATATAACATAACTATTTTATTTTTAGCTAATTTCAATTTTTGTAATTAAGTTCTAGTGTTCTTTTTTATTCAATCTAATTTTTTTATACTTATACTTTATACTGACTCACTAAGTCATTATTCAGTCTATTAATAAATTACTTTATTTATTTGCCTTTTTATACTATTCATTACTTTATTTTATTTTCAATATTTTTCATGTTTAAACGTTTTTTTTTCGATATTTATTTATTCATTTTTTTTTTTCGTTACCATTTCTTACTATTGCCTTGTATGGTGTAAGTTTTTGCATCTGTCAGATCCTGATTTTTTAAAGAATAATAAAATAAATTAAATAAATCATGTTTGGTTTAATGGCGGATGGATGTAAACATTTATTTTTCTTTAAACTATCTCGTTCTAAGTTATTTTCTATCGTTTCCAATAAATAATACGTCTTTTTTTCTATTGAACTCGTAGTAATTTATTACCCAAATTAATGTTGACATAAAATTAATGTTACTAACAATTTCGATAATTTTCATCTTTTACGTTTTACGTTGGTTAGCTTAGTGACGTCATGCAGGCTGCATATACAATCATGGCCAAAACTTTTTCCGTTGAGTCATTTGAGAGTATTGTTACTCAAATTCTAGACAAGTCAAATGAATTTCTGGTGATGGTGATAGCACTATCCAACGGCAACCTTGAAAAAATATTTGAGAAGTTCGACTCGAATCTTACAACAGGTCAAACGAAAACTTGCACAAATCATTGGCTCATTCTGAAGGATTAATGAGCAAACTCTTCGAATCAACGTTTCTTTGAATGGAGGCCCTCAGCAATAGTTTTGAACGAGTGGTCCGTAGCATGTTTGATGCAGTGACGGGTTCGATGAATCAGCTCCACACAGCCATGTTCATATTGGGCACTAATATTGCCCAATGTCAAATTCAGATGCTGAAGATCAACGAATCGCCATTGATTGAGCAAATGACAAAGGCTCTGTAGACAGTAGAACAGGAGAAGAAAGATGAAGAGCATCGGGCCAACAATGTAATTATTTCTGGCCTTGTTCAACAAACCGGGGTATACGACATAGAGGTGGTTTTGAACTTGTGCGAAACGCGTTAAAAACGCGTCATATTGGCACCTCAAAAATATGTGTAACATTGTCCGGTCAATCTGCAGTTGATGATCTGATTTCTTCATCAAGGCTGCTACGCTCATCGCCCGACACAAAAAACATTTTCATCAATCGTGACCTGTCTAGAAGACAGGCCGAGCAAGCATTCTTCTAACGACAAGCACGGCGCCTTACAAAATCAAGCGGTGACAAAATCAAATTGGACGACCCAAAAAAAGACCAGCCCTTTCGTTAAGATCAGACCTCTTCGAATGGCTTTGACCAACACCAGAAGTCTACAAAACAAGCAGAACGATTTAATTTTATTTTTGTTGGACTACGATTCCGATATATTTTCTGTTGTTGAAACATTTTTTACCCCTAATGATCCTGATGAGATATTCTTACCGCCTAGCTAGGCTTATGTTAGAAAAGATCCTGAAACACGTGGCGGCGGTTTGGCCTTCATTATCAAAGATTCAGTTTCATATAAAATATTCACATATTGAAATAATATCCATTGATGTTACCCTATCGTTTACAAATAACCGATTCATATTATACTATCGTCCTGGTGGTTATGACAAGGCAATCGATAGCATCCAATGTATTAGAGAGTTATGTACAGGTAACGTCAACTGTCTGTTGGGTGATTTTAATCTACCGCTCATTATTTGGACTAATTACTCATATCCGAATAATTCAATTTACAACTCCTTTATTCAACTCTTCAACGAATTTGGTCTGCAACAACTGGTTGATTTATCTGCTCGGGGTCAAAATATTTTGGACCTGGTACTCTCGGATGATACCAGCTTACTAGTCGAACTGGAGGTTATTAATCTGCTTGCCTCGAGCGATCACAACATTATTGCATTTCAAATTAACTGCACCATCGGCAAGCCACCAAGTATTGATCCGCTCAACAAAACATATTTTCTAGATATCAACAGGGCTAATTACAATTGTTTAAATGATTATTTGTCTAGCCTAAATTGGGACGGTTGTTTTCAATACCGCTTCAATATCGACATGTGCTGGGAAACTTTTGAGTTTTGAGCAAATAATCCATCTTGCAATGTCAATTTTTGTTCCCATGATTTGTCGTGACCAGCTACCGCCAAAAAATTCAATTCCAAAATCACTTCGTTTATTTTACAAAGCAAAACTCTATTTTTGGAAAAAATGGAAACTAAGTTTAGATCCAGTCGATAAAGACCAATATCTGAAGTTATCTAAAAAGTGCTCCAATTTAGCCAACTCATCTCGCAAAAATAAAGAACAAATGTTGTTAACAAAAGCGAATATCCGAAGTTTTTATCATTACGTCAATAATAAACTGTTTTCTAAACCTCAGCTTACCAGCTTGAGAATTAATAATGTAAATAACAATGTAACTAATGATCCCATTGAGATAGCTAATACATTCAACGAATATTTTGGATCAGTTTTCACGATTGACGACAACAGTAGTAGTTCGCTATCAAACCGTACTACAGAATCAATAGAAGACATTTGTTTCACTCCACATACAGTTTATCTCGCTCTTCGTAATTAAAAAAAACATTTTCAGTAGGTCCAGACGGTATACCAAACATTCTTCTCAAAATGTGTGCATCAAGCCTGGCTCTTCCATTGTGTCACATATTTGACATATCATTTAAAACTAATTTTCTACCAACAAAATGGAAGACAGCTTTTATAGCTCCTATTCATAAGAAAGGTCCAACCAATCTCCCAAGCAACTACCGACCAATATCACTCACCTGTTCATCATGCCGGGTTATGGCGTCTCTAACATCAAGCCTAAATATGAAAATTAGTTTTTAGATGATGAAATTACAGTCAAATTAAAGATACCAAAGTACAATATCAAAGTCAAGACAAAGCGACTTTATCAACACATTCAGATACAAGACAAAGAAATTTCAGTACCAAAACACATAATAGAAGCAAAGACAAATAATCTTTATAAAAAAATCAAAGATATGAAAATAATACTCCAAATCAAGAAATTTTTTTTAGATCAAATACCACAGCAAAAAAGCCATGTTTTATGTGTGGAGAAGTAGGCTGAAATTGGTACCATCCATCAAATGAATGTGGAAACAGGAATCTTCACTCGTCAAAAAGAGAAATTAATATGCATGATACTGACCACCAACCAGATGACGGAGTAGAAATGATGAAAATTGAAATTGACAAGAAATCTTTAAACAGAAAGCCAGGGAAAATTGAATGCACTGATAAGGGTGAATGTAATAATAGATAATAAATTAAAAGTTAAGACAGTTTATGATAGTGGATAGTTTAATAAATAAAAATTCCTAGATATTTTAAAACTATAAATAATATAAGTGCATTCAAAACCATCAGTGGGTTAAATATTAGTTCAGCCCGGGCAAATTTAGTTGATTTAACTATTAATTTAAATACGTACATAGTCAAAAATAACAATTTCTCCTATGACCTATTTTATAGCATCAAGACCCAGATGCTATAAAAAAAAAAGTTCAAACTCATTCAAGACGAAAATTTAAACATTCTGCAAAAAATCAATTATAACAATGTCATCAAAATAGAAGAAAGAGATCAGATGAACAACAATATGTTTAATTCAGATGAACCAATCTAATCTACAAAATGCAGATAAAAATAAATTAATTAAAATTTTCTAAGTTAATTTTAACGAAAATGAAATTTATACCACATTGAAAGGGAAAATAAATGAAAATATTTCAATTCTAATTAATAAATACAGAATATGTTTGTAAAGGATAAATATAATATAGGGAAAGTAAAATCTAGAGAAGCAGAAATAAAACATCAATATAAAACATAAATATAAAACAGCAAGACTATCTAAATGTTCTATAGTTGATGATGAAGAAATCAAAACTCAATTCAAGATGTTATTAGAAGCCGATTTAATTGAAGAATCAGTATGCCCCACCAGTAACACTGGCTTTTAAAAAGATAACGGTCGTCGAACAAGGCTTTGCATTGCATTGCATTGATTTCAGACAATTAAATAAATTAGTTGTTTCAGAGTGCTACCCATTTCCTACTTTTAATGACGTCCTAAAGTACCAAACTGCAAATATTTTACTGCACTTGACATAAATTCTATATTTTTGTGTATACTGTTAAATAGGAAGATAGGGAAAAAACTTCGTTTATCACAAAATAGGGAAAATTCAATTTTTAAAGTTTTACCCTTTGGCCTTAAAAATTCGTCAGCAATTTTTCATTCAGTAATTACCCTTAAGGCCTTAGATGATATATGTCTGTGATGCTGAGAAAAGGATAGCATCGTGTCAAAATTAAGGCCTAATATTTTCGGATTATGTTCAAGTGGGAGAAGCTAGTTATTGATTATGACTTGTGGCTGATAGTGATATAGCGATGTGTGAAAAATGAAGAGAGCTATAGTAGATTTAGAGGTGGAAATCACCAAATTACGTTGGTGAAAGAAGTTGTTTAACTCTGACAGGTAGTTGTTAAGACGCCGAGTTGAAATAGCTGCATCCGGACCAGTGGTGTAGTTAGAGAAATCATCTGCATAAGAAATGATTTTGATGTCTGTAGGTGACACATGAGTTTTTGAGACGTAGTAGTTGAAAAGTGAAGGCGAAAATACTGATTCCTGGAGCATGCGTTCGTGCAGGTAATTCGAGAGCCAGCGAACATCTGATCTTGGGAGTGTTGAGGTGAATAGATCCGTGAGCAGGGTTTGATGGTCAACCGTATCAAAGGCCTTAGAAAGGTTTAGTGCAGCAAGAATATTACAATGGGCTGGTCTTTTTTGGTTGAGGCCATTGGCGATGTCATTGGCGATAGTGGTAAGTGCTGTCGTTGTTGAGTGATTGGGACGGAAACCGTGTTGGTGGTCCGCTAAAGTGAGGTGCTGGATTATGATGGGTAGAAGGCATTTTTCAAGGACCTTGATGGCAGGGCAGAGAAGAGAGCAGCACCTCCTTTCAGAGTGCCAAATGCTATCCGTAAGGCAAAACACCAACCTTTTATCATCACAGTTCTTATTAAATTGCCACAACTCATATCATCCCTGCCACTACATCGCAAGAGAGTCACAACCTTTCAGAAATATGAAAGAGATCATTAGGTTTAAGTAGATCCAAGATTAATAGTAAGTCCAAGTAGATTTCCTAGCCAAGTCTTTAGAAAAATCCAGAAAAAGCTAGTCCAAAGATGCACACAGAATTCGGATTTTGTCAGGAATGTATAGACCAAATCTTGCCTTCTCTTAATTGATAGAGGAAAAATTATAATGAGGCCAATGTTCATTTTTTTGTTTTTTAAATTTCAGATCTGCATACATTGGTCAACATTATAGAATATCTGAAAGCCATTCCACATAAAACCATCTTTTTTCCAAGATGTCATGAAAAATCGTGTCGAAAAAATAAAATAAACTATTAAAAACGAACATGGTTTAGTAATGTTTGTAGAACAGGTGAATTTCGGCTACGATATCAACTTTCTTACAAAGACCGATCTAATCTAATCACGAGAAAATACAAAGCTTTGGATCGAAAAAAAACTTGGATTAAGCAGATAGAAAATGTACGCATAAGTTTGAAATAGTTTGAAATCAATCTATATTTGATTGAAATCAGACAGCGATTATTAGAGAGAAATAGAAAAGCATATAGAACTTTTATTTTTTTTTGTTTTAATTGCTTAAAACTTTTATTTATTGAGATAATTTTGCAAAAACCTATAGGAGGACACTAGTGAGTTTTATAAGCTTTCCTCCAAGTCATGCCTACGTGGAACTCACACTTGGAGCTTTTAACATTTCAAACTTTAAATCAAAAACTGAGCACACCCAAGTCAACTTGGTTTGGGCTCTGTCATTTCACTCGTTATCATTAAATACATTGATTAAACTTGAACAAATTCGAAAAAAGAGTTCTATTCGAGCAAATATTCAAAATTTTGATTCTGATTGTGTTTTTAAAAGACAAGTTTTTTATTAGAGTTTTTGACAATTATAAACAAGAAGTAAACAGAGCTCGGTTATTTTGCATGCGCATTGAAGTGGTAGAATGAACATTAAAAGCAAACAACTTAGAAGATTGATAGTTCTGATTATTCGGATTTTTGATCAGGGGAATAAATTAAGTGACCAAACGGAATTAAATATTTAAATGGCTAAACCTGACTTATAGAGGATGAGTTGTTAGCATACTGACGAACCGGCGAATTTATTGAAAATTAAATAAACAAATAATAACATATAAACAAGTAATGAGTAAATAAATAAAGATGAATCGACGATGGTTGCATATGTTTTAGGGTTTTTATATCGGCATATCTCTTTCAATTTTTTATCATTTGTATTTATAAAAACCTAGTTCTTCATTTACCTTTACTACAAGATTTTTTAATTTTTTTA